GAGCGGGTATGATTATTAGCAAAAAAATTTTGTTTGTGGAAAGTATTCTTGCATATGAAATCAGCTTTCACAATGGTTAGAAAGAAAGCAAGAAGGAGTACAGAAAACTTCCCTGTGTAAGGGGTAGCAATGTCAGCCCTGGGAACACCACACTACCAGAATGACCTAGAGTGTCTATAACTAGAACTAGTGCTGCCCCTTTCTCCTGCCAGTTGAACTTATTTGTACCAGTGCATGTTAGACAGGTTCAAACAAGTTTGGACAGTCAGATTTTTCAGAGGATTTAGGCACACACACAAGTCTGTCTTCCATATCCAAAGCAGTGTTAGGTGATTCTCTTATCAGCACAATCAAGGCACTACTATCTCTGGACAAAAACCCAATCACCTACACTACTGAATAGACATCATGTATGCTTCTCAAGCCATTTCTAAGTCAGTGAGCAAATCTCAAGCCTGACATAGAAGGGTAGAGTATAGCAAAGAGACCGAGTAAGATATAGTACTAAATTGAAAGTTAACTTTTTTTTTCAATAACTACTGATGAGCTAAATCTTCCTCAGCCTGCACTGGAGCAGGCATCAAATAACATGGCAATAATGTAGTTAGATCATACATAGAGTAACTTGTCATGAATCACAGGAACACTGAGGATATGAATACTGACACAAAATTTCTTTAGCTATTAAACCTTTACTCTGCAGGCATTTTTCCAAAACTGCCTTGTACTACCCTGCATCAGCTGCCTAAGCTTCAAACTGTTTGATCCTCTTTTATGTTTTAGGTGTTCTTCAAAGCAGGTCTCTTGGGAGTCCTGGAAGAGATGAGAGATTATAAGCTTGTGAGCCTCATCACTACTATACAAGCTATCTGCAGAGGGTTCCTCATGAGAAATAAATACAAGATAATAAGTGGAAAAAGGTAATACAAGGAAATACTAACAATCATGCTGTGTCAGACCGAAAGTCCAGCAATGCTGTAAACTGTCTGAAGCAAAAAACTGTTCTCAGGAGAGACCCTTATAAAGTCTAGGGGAAACAGAGAAAGCCCAAACAAATAGTTTCCTTGCTGCAGCCTCCCACATTTTGGCAATGGCTATTAAGCAATTGGACCGTGCAGCTGGACCGTGATGTTTAGTATTTAACAGTGAACTTTTTCTCCAGGAATGTACTTAACCTGTGACAGAGACAGCTATCTAAGCCAGCTAAGGTTTGTCTGGTGTGAACATGTTGTCTGATGATTTCACTGGATCAAGTTGTTTTTTGTAAGGAATGGCATAAGATCAATCTCTGCTCTCTTTCTCATTCATTTTCTTTAATGACTCCATTATCTACAATGAACAATTCTAGCTTGTACAAACAAGGTACTTCCATACTTTCAATCATCCAGAATACACTTCCCATTTCAGCTCTCTCCCTTTGAAATTGGATGAATCATGCAAAATTTATAATGGAGGAGTGGCAGCCCTGGGTGAGCCAAGCAAACTTTCTCAAATGTTGACAAGTGAAAACTTCAGGAGGAACAAGGATTGCATAAATTTATAGGGTACTCTGCCAATCAGCTGCTTTTATTTGTAATACTATGCAGGATATATTTAGCTCAGGGGCTTCCTGAGCCAGGTATAGTTTCTAAGAACTCAATAACTCTTACTGGATTTTTCTGCAAGGAATTGTCTAATTTCCCCTTGAACTGTGGGCATCAACAACATACTTTTGCATTCCAAAGTATAATTTACATATTTCTAATATGGTATTTGCTATTTTGACCCAAAGAGCATCAAGCTGCTGTTTCCACAACTGACAGTAACTCCCAGATTTCAGCAGCAATACTTCAAAGATGTCAGTTTTCACTCTGGTAGTCACCTGAGCATTCGCACTTTCTTTAAGACTAAGGAAAGTCTCAGAGATTCCCAGGCAACATGCCAGAGAAGTTTGCTTTGGAGTATTTCTCCCTTATATATTCAGACATAGTCATTGTTCATGCTACTGAACTAACCATTCTGCAATCAATGGCCTAGAAATTATTCTTTTATTAATAAAGGAAGGTGAAGAAAAAAGTTTCATGCAAAAGTTCCTTGAGGCAAAAGATGATGCTGTCTAGCCAGTAATCAGAGTGTTTCCAGCCCAAGTCTTATCATCCTCATAAACTGTGTTTTCATGTATTTTCAGAGAATGCATTTATATCCTCCAGAACAATATTCGTGCATTCTTGAACACCAGGCACTGGCCCTGGATGAATCTGTTGACCATGATCAAACCCTTGATGAAGAAGGCAGAATCTGAGAAGGAGATAGCCAACATGAAAGAGGAGTTTGAGAAGACCAAGGAAGAGCTTGCAAAGTCTGAGGCAATAAGGAAAGAGCTGGAGGAGAAAATGGTGACCCTGGTGCAAGAGAAAAATGATCTGCAACTTCAGGTTCAATCTGTGAGTAACAACCATTTTTAGTTTCACCCACTTCTTATTCTGCTTTCCCTTCTCTTTTCCATTGTCCTTCATAAACAGACATGTAACAGGGCTGGATTCTCCACTGCTTTGTATCTGGTCTTGTTATTTACACCTAAACAAAATAAGTACAAAGCACATATAAAACATTACCACCAGTAGCAATACAGGAGATTCTGACTGGGTGTCCACTTCATTATTAAGCAATCACCAGGGGAAGAATCAGATGTCCCACAATATATAGAGTGTGGTCCTAACAATGGAATCTAATTCTGGATGAAATACAAGCTGTTTCCACATCTGCTGACCATTATGGAAGCCAGGACAGGGTGCTTTTCTGTCACAGACAAAACTGAAACTGTGGAACAAAAATTGATGCTTTTCTCTGGAATACTGCTGAGACAAGTCTGAAATTGCACAAGATAGGAATATTGTCAGGTTTTAAAAGGTAGTAAGACACTACGTGGCCAAGGACAGTCTGGTGCAAGTAGACCTGTCACTTGTTTCCCTGTGCTTTCAAACCAGTTGGGTTTTGAAAGAGTCTTGTATTGTTTCAAGCACTGAGGCTGTAACTGTGCCTGCTGAACATGAGGTTCATTCCCTGAATCCTTCTTCAGAACTTCAACTTAACCTGAGTTTCTTTGTGCCCTTCTTGGTACTTAATGCTTTGTTCTCCAGAACCCATCTAATTTACAAACATTTGGGACTTCACTTTATTAAACCCTCCATGGATGGCAAGCAAAACAAAACCCCCACAACTGAGAAGACCAAGTTTAACTAGGTTAACTAACTTCCAGGTTAGGATGCCTTTCAAACCACTCAGATTTTTGAACAGAAAAGAACTCCTAAGGTATGATCATTGCCCTCAAGTGTGTTGTCTGACTCTTTCTTGACTCCCAGTTTCTCACTGTTTCAGTACTAGAAGAGTCCTTCCTGTCTTCTTGCTGTTTTTCTGGGGAAATTTCTATCAATCCTGCCTGAAAGATTCCTCAAGCACCATCTTCTTCAAGTTTGTCCCCAGAAGATGCACACTCACTAGTCATGATTTACAGTGCACTATGGGTTTAAGTCAGAATCTGAGAGAGAATTAAACATACCATCTTCAGTTACCGCAGTGATGGCTTTCAGCCATAAGTCTTTTGGGAGGCAGCAGATACTTTCTCTGGTATTCTGCCTAGAATAAGTCATAGTAGCAAGAATTTAGACAAAATTTTATCTGTTAATCATGTGTCTCAAAATGTTAGTTCTAGTGAAAGTTGAGGACTACAGTTTAGGTTGAGCTTGACCCTAGTTTGGCTGAGCAAGAGGTTAGAGAATGATGGGAGTGAGATTAGCCTCACGTGAATAAAGTGAGAGAAGTTTGGGGAGAGTCTGACCTATGTCATTAGAGTTGGAGGAGCTTATTAAAGACTGTATCACCCAAAATTCTATGAAAGATGATTTTGAAATCCACATCTAAGATTATGCTTCCATGAACTCTTGGACTTTCTTCAGACTCTTCATTAGGGACTCTAGTGGTAGGACAAGGGGTAATGGCTTTAAACTTAAACAGGGGAACTTTAGGTTAGATATAAGGAAGAAGTTCTTCACAGTGAGGGTGGTGAGGCACTGGAATAGGTTGCCCAAGGAAGTTGTGAATGCTCCAACCCTGGAGGTGTTCAAGGCCAGGCTGGACAGAGCCTTGGGTGACATAGTTTAGTGTGTGGTGCCCCTGCTCATGGCAGGGGGGTTGGAACTAGATGATCTTAAGGTTCTTTCCAACCCTAACTCTTCTATGATTCTATGAAATCCAGTTTGCTAGCCAGCTTTTTATCTAACTGATTCCTTGCAGGCTCCTTGTTATGACTGAACCCTGTGAGTCTATTGCATGATATTGTAGTCAAACCAGCTGAAAGGAAATATGTCTACCAGGGGATTATGGTCCACTTCAATAGCCATGACTGAGCAGAACAATTTCCTCATGGTTAGACTGTGTGCATTACTGTCCTATTTGCATAGGCAATTCTGCCCTGACTTGTGTAATTGATTTCCTGGAGATGGCACTTGAACAGTGTATGTTGCCTTTTGTCATTTTGATGATGAATACAATGTGCCTTCATTATGTTCTAACAGGTGAGTGAAAATCTAGCTGGTGCTGAAGAGAGATGTGGAGGACTCGTCAAAAATAAAATCCAGCTGGAAGCTAAAATTAAGGAACTAAGTGAACGAATGGAGGAGGAAGAGGCGACAAATGCTGACCTGACAGCAAAGAAAAGGAAACTTGAAGATGAGTGCTCTGGGCTGAAGAAAGATATTGATGATCTTGAACTGACTCTGGCCAAAGTGGAAAAGGAGAAACATGCAACAGAGAATAAGGTGATAGTGGAATCAGGGAATTATCATTCTCCAGACAGTTTTTAGTTTTGTGGAAAGTTGCAGTCATTCCTAAGTTCTCTGAAAGGAAGTGATATGTGCCCAAGGCATAGGAGAGAGGCATTGCCAGTTAAATACCTGCAACAGGAAATCTGTGAAAATTATAACTTCCTCTTAGAAAAAATACATTTTCTGTGACAGTTCAAAAAGAGTTGAAAGTTTGTTACGGTGCTTGACAGAAAGTTTCCATATTTGGCTATTTGCAGTCATAAGGAACCAGTATATTTGTGCCTCCTGTCAATAATGGAGGATTAGTATGCTTATGAGTAGCCCAGCATGGAATGGCTAAGTTGGTCCTTTCTCACATGCATTGAGGAGAATTGATTTTGCATATATCAATTGTTTTCTTATAATTCTCTTATATTTAAGAATACCATGTCTCAGCTAGGATGGACATCCTTTCCTTCCACTGACTTGACAATACAATGAGAGTTCTTCCTGACTTCTAATGTTCAGACTATTAGTGTGGCAAGGAGGGTCTCTATCAGGCAGTCATTAATTCATTTAGCAACCAGTAAAAGCACAGGTCTCTTCACTTACATCTCAACAATCAATGTGAAGAGACAGAATTGAGATATACATGTTAGAAGTCAAAAGCCCTCATCTGTGGTGAGTGTCCACTGCTGTGGAAACGATACTAGCAGAGATCTAATTACAACATTGAGGTTCCCTTCACTGTCATCAGCGAGAACAATACTGGATCTTAAGTTCGCAAATACAGTTATGCTGGATATTTCTAAACTAATGCTCAGAAGAAATCTAGCTGGTGCTGGGTATTAGGATGAGGGAGTGTCTTAATCAGGTATCAGAGCCACATAGCTAAAGCACTTAGCAGAGTGGACTTTCCTTATTCCTACTGTCAGGCTTTCCCATCCAGATAAGACAAATGGGAAGCAAGGGTCAGGCAGGTTAATGCACAGCACAGTGCTTGGGATGAGGGTGCTGGTATGCAGTGCTCCACTGAAGTACAAGGAATCAGTTTCCAAGATAAAGCTAGCAGAGCTGCTATGTCCAGCAGCCTGTTTAGAAGCTCCTGCCCTAAATTTGTGATCAGCTGTTCCAAGGGCATAAGGTTCTTTGTCATGTCACGTCTTTGTTGTGTTCGTTTCACTTTTATGGAAAACTTAACATATTTCTTATCTTTGGCTACACTTAGCATATGATAATATCTTTATAAAGAACCTCACTTGCTGAGAATTTACAGCTGTTGACCTGGCAAATACACCACATGCAGAAAATACATATTTTGAGCAAGAGCAACTCAGAGGCCTTTTGTAATCCCAGTGGGAAAAGCTTGCAGAGGCAGGGGAAGATCTAGCACATGTTCCACTATAGAATGCAGCAGGATAGAGCTGGTAGTCAAAAACCACTAAAGCAAGAATTCCTGCCATTGGAGGACCAGAAAGGTATGACTGTCAGGCATGACACTTGTTGCTATGCTTACCATAAATGATAACAGACCTTCTGTGGAGAGCATTTTGACTACATCCATAAAAGATTTTGCAAGGAGGTACTCTCTGTGTTCTCGGTCTGTCATGTCTCAAGGCAACCCCTCATAGTATGGATGTCTAACAGGTTAAGAATCTTACCGAAGAGATGGCAGCTCTGGATGAAAATATTTCTAAACTCACTAAGGAGAAAAAGGCCCTCCAGGAAGCCCACCATCAGACACTGGATGACTTGCAAGTTGAGGAAGACAAAGTCACAGCACTCAGCAAAACCAAGACCAAACTGGAGCAGCAAGTAGATGATGTAAGGAAAAGTTTTGAGGTTGTGTAGGTGGATGCTTTGACAGATTAGAAGAGTCTAGAAATCTGTAATTGGGAGTATAACTAACACATAAAGCAGCCAAGACAGCTCTAATACTTCCAGCTAATACTTCTGCCTGTTGACAGAGTATTGTGGAATCCAGGACACCTTCTACCTTTCCCTGCATATGCAAACTATGTTCGTCACTGGGTATTTCAGCATTGTAGACTTTTGTGCCCTCTTTTAATCAATTAGCTGGACCACTACATCTGTAGCAGTCTGAAGTTTGCTGCAGAGTTGTGGTCTCTTACTGTGCAGTGCAGATATCTCCAGGAAGTTATGGACACTGGGAATTTGTCTGTATTTTAGAAACTGCAGCCACTGGAAAATTTAAATTTCTGTATTTTTCAGAAACTTGCGTTTCAACTGTGCACAGCCAAGCTGTGGACAGCTTAATGTCCAAAAATCGAATCACAATGTCAGCTTTAATCTTGCAGCAAGAGTGTAGCACAGGTGGAGATGAGAAATTTACACAGGATTGTTTCCACTATCCATCAATTTTTAATCAATAATAGTTACTTTTAAAGTAGAGTGTATGTGTTTCACAGGATGTTTTATGTGTTTTAGCTTGAAAGATCTCTGGAAGAAGAGAAGAAACTGCGAATGGACCTTGAGAGAGCAAAAAGAAAACTAGAAGGAGATCTGAAAATGTCTCAGGATTCCATTATGGATCTAGAAAATGATAAGCAACAGATGGATGACAGACTAAAAAAGTACCACACTGACTTTTTATACTCTGAATTCTAAAATTCAGATTTTATCTTAACCATATTGAATTTACATTCTTGTTCTTTAACAGAAAGGATTTTGAAATCAGACAGTTGCAAGGTAACATAAAAGATGAGCAGGCTCATAGTTCTCAGCTGCAAAAGAAAATTAAGGAGCTTCAGGTAGAGTATGAGAGTTATTGATTTTTTAGTAGCTAAGCACATTTTCCTTAGAGTTAATTGATGTGTATTCTTAGACTTCTACAGAAATATTTTCCTACATGTGAATAAAACATGAACTCTAGGTGTTGTTCCCATCTCAGGGCACTTTTACAGGAATTCTGTCCTCTACTCATACATAACTATGTAAGAAACGTCTTAAGTGACGCTTGTCGCTGGCTTTAAAAACAGATCACATACTGAGTTATAACAGTAGTGAAGCCACTGAGAATTAAGTTTTAAGAAAAAAATAGAATGTGACATAATCTGTCATGATCAGGACAGAGATCACATTCTAAATGCAGAGCCAGGAAGAAAATTCTCTTCAGTACTATTATCCTATGGTTAGACATCTCAAGGTTCCTTCCATCTTGTTTGCTGATGGAGGGAGGATGCTGTTTAGTCTTGGCCTGACCTTTGGGAAATTTCTAAAAAACTTGAATTCCGTTACATTTTCCAGTGACAAATCCCCCATTTCTTCAGAAAAGTGCAATACTAGATCTTTCTTAACATAATGAATCCATTCTGAGCTATAACATAACATGAAATACCAGATTTTACATTCACTGTTGTTCTAAAACCAAATATTACATATGATAGAACAAAATTCAGTGAAATTTCTTGTGGTGCTTCTCTCTCTATGCTGGTATAAGTGGGTGTGAATGTTCCCTCCTTCTTTGTTAATGATAATTTCACATCTGTTCATCCAGAAGTCTTCATTTAACCAATTAACTTTCACAGGTTCGAACAGAGGAACTGGAGGAGGAAATTGAGGCAGAACGAACCTCTCGGGCAAAAGCAGAGAAGCATCGGGCTGACCTCTCGAGGGAGCTGGACGAGATCAGCGAGCGCCTGGAAGAAGCAGGAGGGGCTACGGCAGCTCAGGTTGAGATGAACAAGAAGCGTGAGGCCGAGTTCCAGAAGATGCGTCGTGACCTCGAAGAGGCCACGCTGCAGCACGAAGCCACGGCTGCTGCCCTGCGGAAGAAGCACGCGGACAGCACCGCTGAGCTTGGGGAGCAGATCGACAACCTGCAGCGAGTGAAGCAGAAGCTGGAGAAGGAGAAGAGTGAGCTGAAGATGGAGATGGACGACTTGGCCAGTAACATGGAGTCTGTCTCCAAATCCAAGGTACATAGATACCTTCTAGATATTTCATAGAAACATAGAAAGGCTAGGGTTGGAAAGGACATTAAGATCACATAGTTCCAACCTCCCTGCCATGGGCAGGGACGCCTCACACTAGACCATATTGCCCAAGGCTCTGTCCAACCTGGCCTTGAATAGTGCCAGGGATGGGGTGGGCACAGCTTCTGTGGGAAACCTGTGTCAGTGCCTCAGCACCCTCACAGTAAAGAACTTCTGCCTTATATCTAACCTGAACTTCCCCTGTTTCAGTTTAAACCCATCACCCCTTGTCCTATCGCTACAGTCCCTGATGAAGAGGCCCTCTCCAGCATCCTTGTAGACCCCTTCAGATCCTGAGGTCTCACAGCTTCTCTTCTCCAGGCTGAACTGCCTCAACTTTCTCAGCCTGTCTTCATACGGGAGGTGCTCCAGCCCCTGATCATCCATGTGGCCTCCTCTGGACTTGCTCCAACAGCTCTACATCCTTCTTATGTTGGGGACACCAGAGCTGGATGTAGGACTCCAAGTAGGGTCTCACAAGAGCAGAGGGGCAGGATTCCCTCTTTCGAACTGCTGCTGATGCTCTGGAGATGCAGCTCAGTACATGGATAGTTTCTGGGCTCAAGCACAACTGCTGGCTCATGTTCCGATTCTCATCAACCAGCACCCCCAAGTCTTTCTTCACAGGGCTGCTCTGAATCATTTCTCCTCCCAGCCTGTAGCTTTGCCTGGGATTGCCCCAACCCAGGTGTTGGACCTTGCATTTCACTCTGTTGAACTCCATGAGGTTGAAATTGGACACCTTTCAAGCATGTCAAGGTCCCTCTGTATTCCATCCCTTCCTTCCAGCGTATCAGTCATACCACACAGCTTAGTGGCATTAGCAAAATTGCTGAGGGTGCCCTCAATCCCACTATCCATGGCACCAACAAAGATGTTGAACAGGACTGGTCCCAACACCAACCCCTGAGGGACACCACTCACCTTGTCACTTGTTTGTTTCTCGTAAAATACAAATGACTTCTACCCTACCCTGTCCTTATCATTCCTATTTTTCTTTTCCTCCTTTAAATACTTCAATGGCACAATCGCCAAGATTATAAAAACAGAAATTTAAAGGAATTCCTCAGTGTCCCATCATTGGTTTCAGTTTTGCCCTTTAGAAGACTTGAGATTCTCAGTAATTATGTGTTGAACCACCAATGACCTTTCGTTCTGTTTCTCTTGCAAACAGGCAAATCTGG